ATAATGGGGAATATTACACTGTAATGTTCCCTATTATAATCTATTTCTCTGTTGTGTACTGCTATTTCATGTAATTGGACAAATGGATTATAATGGGGAATATTACACTGTAATGTTCCCTATTATAATCTATTTCTCTGTTGTGTACTGCTATTTCATGTAATTGGACAAATGGATTATAATGGGGAATATTACACTGTAATTTCTCTGATTAAATGATTACAGACTGGCCTCTGTTCTATCACAGTTTGAGACTACGTTAGAATGTGTGACCAGTGACGTGGGTAAGAAGAGTTAGGCGCCCGGGGGGGGGGGGGGGGGCCAGTGTGATCCGCTCCCGCGCACACCCCCCCCATCTTGGGAGGGGGGGCCCTTTGGTTATTAGGTCCGCCACTGAGTCCTGTATTCACCCCCTCCTGTAGTTTTTTGCAGACAGCCTATAGTTGGTGGTTGTCCTTGGTCTCGCCATAGCTCTGTCCTCTGCAAAGGCTATATGCAGAATACTGATGATGCCAATGCTACTTTTCCAAGGTAATAACTGGGAGCCCAGATGCTTCCTGTGTGTGAGAAAGTTCTGTTATCATTAGGGATGCACCGATACTGGTATCAATTAATCCTATGCACTTGGTAAATTGTTAAAACAACAGGGTTGAGATCTTAAAATGGCATTATATATGAAATATAGATGTCTAAAATTTACAGATTTTCAAATGGTTCTGGATCTCAAAATCACATTGGCCTCTGTACTAGCTTCTTCAAAATGTGTTCTAAATTTTTTAGGGTTGTGGTTAAGCTGTCACATATTATTGTCAGTCTGAGTACAACAAGCTTGTTTGCGTCAGTTTATGTGTCCTTCAAAACCTTCAACACTCTACTGATTTCCCCTTTTCCATATTAATAGTTTGTGATTACATGATTTCCAAAGAAAGGACTAGACATCCAGATGAAGCAGAAAATATGTTATATGGCTTATAACACATTGCACATAGGTACACTAACTGCTGTACTGCTAATTCAATGCAGTGGGGTTGATTTACTAAAACCCAATAGGTTGTTCATTTTGCAAGGGAAATTTCACTTTGGAATGAGAAGTTTTCCTTAACTTTTCCCTTAACTTGGTGAGTGGTGAAGCTCTGCTGACTTTCATCATCCAATCATGTGCAAGCAAAAATATTTTTTTCTATTTTCTTTGCATGTAATTGGGTGTTCTTTGAAAAGTGAATTTTCACCACAAGTTGAGGGAAATTGCCTTGAAAAGTGTTTATTCCAATATAAAGTGAACATCATATTTGCCTTTAGTAAATCAACCCAAATTCAACAACCATGTACACACATTACAGAAGAAAAAATTAGCTGCAACATTATTGCTGACAAAGGAATTTACATTTATTTAAAACATTTTACACAATTACTTAAAGCTCTGGGAAGGGACCCTTGCTTGCCAAGCCAGTTTCATGCCTTTCCCCTTTTGCCAGAAACATTCTATTTTTTGCTTAGTAATCTCCTTTTTAAATATTTTCCTGTTTACAGGACCATTACACCCTCTTTAACACCAAGCTTTTAATCTTAAATGCATTAAATGCTGAAGTGGGTACATAAACATTTTACATTAGGAGACTAATTTACTCTAGAATGTGATGTAGTGTTTGGCTACATAATCTAGAGCCTCCTTTTGTATTTATACAAAGGGAGATATAACTTGTTCCATTATTCTCCATGCAATGAGCCAGTCACTTGCAATCTAATTTGCAACAACTGCATCTCCTGTAAAAAATTACACAACACAGGGGTGTCAAACCATATTCTAAGACCATATTCCAAGTTTTAATTATATTCTCATGTTTCTGGATTCTGACTTTTACCAGTGTGTTGGATTTGACCATGTGGGCCAAGCTGCCGTGGATATGAATTAGATACAGTGCATTCACACATAAAGCCTGTGTGCCCATTTTGCCCACATTTACCTTCAAAAATAGCTGGTATAGACAGTGGTTCAAATAATCAAGAAGATCACTTTGTCATGCACACCTGTGGCTCTAGTTGACTGAATTTTTTTAATGACAGAGCTAAGTGAATTGGTGGTCTGCATAATTTCAGTAGACCATGTCTACCTAATATTTCCAAACATGTTGAACATATTATTCGTGCATTATAAATGTACACATGCTTGAATGATTCAGTCCGAGCCTCTGTATCTAGTGACATCCATTTAAAGTGCCAGGACAGAATAAATTAAAAAAAGATACAGTACATCTCTGCAATACATGCACATGTTTTATCCCTTTAAATACCCTGCAAGCACAGCAAAATAGATATTGATCTGCCAGACATGCAGTCACCTCCTAAGTCTTTCTGTGGGCTGATAACACACAGCTAGACAATCTGTTGTCAGCCCACAAACCAATTAGACCCACCCGCTCTCCCATCTTCACAACATAAACTCTTACAGGGTTATTCACTGGCAGCCAAGTGAATAACCGAGCTGAAGTGAAGTGAGCCAAACCCCGTTCGGCTATTCACTTCAGCAGAGTACGGCTGATTTCAGCTGCACATCGTCTGGCTTCGGCTCCCTTCGGTTCAGCCAAACCTGGTTATCATGGTCAGTGAGCCGAAGTGTAGAACCCGATCGATTCAGCCGATCCAACTTCTGGATCGTTTGAGCCGAACGCTTGGCAGTTCCCTCGCTGCCGTTCACCCCTATTCTCATAGGACCAGGCCCTTTAGGTCTGGTAGAAATTTTAAGGGGTCCAAAAAATGGGTGGGGGGGGGGAAACGTGGGGTCCCCCATAAAAATCCCCAACCAGCCCCTAATCCTAGCCTGTCAGGGCAGAAAGGGGGGGGGCAAGCAAGCGCCCCCCCCTCCCTGTGCTATACCAGGGCACATGCCCGTGGCATTGGGAGTGTGCCTTTCCATTGGCCCCGCCTGGAAAAGCACCTTGTCCCCATGCCGATTGGGACAATGGCCTCTTCCGCCACAACCCTGGCCCGGTGGTTGTGTGGGTCTGCGGGCAGGGGGGCTTATTTGCCTCGGGGCACCCCTTTAATATAGGGGGCGCTCAGATGCTACCCCCCTTGTGAATGGGTAAGGGGTACTTGTACCACTACTCATTCACTAAAGGGTTAAAGTAAAATGTAAATAAACACATCAGACTTTTAGAAAAAATCCTTTAACTGAAAAAAAAACACAACAAAAGTTTTTAACAATTCCTTGAAAAAAAAATACCATTAATTTAAAAAATGGATCCACCGCCGTAATCCAAAGGTCAATCATGACATCCAGCGATGACCAGGGTGATGCCGACTTGTCAAATAAAAAAAAAACGAAGCCCGCCGACACACCCACACCGACGAACTGCTGCTTCAATGACTGCTTTGACAGATGCCAGCCAAATGTAAACAAATAGGCAGAGCTAGCGGTGACATTACCGCTGGCTTTGCCTATTTGTTGACATTTTGCTGGCAGCTGTCAAATGGGTCTTCTCAGGTCCCGGCTGAATGAAAACTAAGGGGCTAGGTGGACTGTGATAAGGTTAGCTCCACCCATTTGTTATCATACAATGACTGCTACTGTCCTCAAATGACCCCCCTTTCCTGCCCTGCCAGGCTTGTGCTCGGATTAGGGTCTGGTTGGGAATTTTAGGGCGGGCCCTACATTTTTCACCCTAATTTTTGGGGCGTGGGGTTTCCCCTTAAAATTCCTACCAGACCTAACAGGCCTGGTATTACCTTTGGGGTGAACCCCACGCACTTTTTTGCAGGGAGGGCATTACATTTGCAGGGAGGGCATACCATTCTCCCCGCTTCCGCTGTGTGTTTGGCTCAGCCGAGCTGGAGCTATGCGGTCGGCTCAGCTGAGCTGTTCGGCTGCCTTCAGCTGCTATATGGGCTATTGTGAATAGCTTGTACAGCAGCCCTTCAGTTCGGCTGAAAGCCGAAGCTACGGCTATATCCTTTGGCTCTTTAGTGAATAACCCCCTTAAAATGTTGTAGTCCCAAGATAAGGACTGGAAGGGACACTTACTCTCCTTGAGAGAACACAGAAAGTGAGCACTAGATGAAGAACATCCCTGAATTTTATACACTTTACTGTTTGTAGCCACTTTAATGTAAGTATTTATCAAAATATGCTTTAAACTTTTACTTGTGATTTGTAAATATTTCATAATGTTGTCCTGTGTGACTCATTCAGTCACAGAGTCATCTTTATTTTATTTTGTAGACGTTAGCGTATCCTGAGATGTTCTGTGAATACCTTATAATAACTGGGATTTATTTTGAGCAAAATTTACATATACAAACACACAAAACTACCATACTTTTAATGGTTGAATATATATATGTTTTATTTAACATAGCCAGCCCTTAAGAGACAGATTTTTATGAGACCCTCTCTTACTCACCCTCTTCACTGTTCCATTTGTTCCATTCTGACCTGCTAATTAGCAGGTCTTTGAGCAACAGAGTGATACAGTAAGCAGTTCCCTGGAGTCACAGAAACGCGACATTGGTGTAATCCTGTGTATGCAGTTGACTTTTCTTCTTTGTTTTCCTCCTTTCTTGCTCTTTCAAACAATATTTTTGCCTTTGGATTATGTGTCTTAAAAAACATGTTTTGTCATTTTCACTTTCAGCAACGGACTTGGGGACATCTCAAAGTTTAAAGAACAGTACACAGATGTGTTCTAAGGAATAGTTTGAATTCAGTATGCTCCCTAGTGCCATTTTACATTTATTTTTGTTGGATTATATCCTTGGCTTTCTGTAACTTAATGGGAAATAACTGTACTCACAGGCCCTTTATAGCTAATCAGATATCTGTCAGATTTGTGCCGTTTACAGATACATTTTCTTTGAGATTTATGAATTGTTTGCACAGTGGACATTTTTACATATACTGAAAATCCTTTACTGTGCATGTGTAAATTGTACAGTAAAGTTACGTTTTATATGCTACTTGAAGCATTTAATTATATTTACTCATTGTTTTTTTTCCTCTGTAGACAAATATTCCTTTCTTACAAAATGTTCTAAACAATCACCAATTCCTTTATGGTACAGTGGACACCCAATTTATTGATGAAAATCCTGACCTCTTCAACCTGAGGCCTGTACAGAACAGAGCACAAAAGCTGTTGCACTACTTGGGTAAATTGGTCCTACTATTTTTTCTCTTTTTCTGTTATGTAATGTACGCTGTGACTACATTTTTGATAGGTGGTGATGCAAGTAAATCTACCATTAATAGTAGAAGTACTTTCAGGTAACATTTCCTGAGGTATAGAGAAACAATACCCAGAACTGATTTCCCCTTTTTGGGAAGAGTATGTTTCAGTAGAAAGTATTGTTCAGTATGGATGTTTATCCTTCTGCCATGCTAAACAGGAGCATAAGTGGGGAGATTTAAATCCATACCTGAAAGTCTTTAAAGTCTATTTCCACTTTTGAAGCCAAATTGAGATGACACATTATATTTGTTACATGTTTCCATTCACATAGCATTACATAAGAAAATAAATGCTGCTAAACGTTTTACTTATATGACAAAATAATCAGCGCTATACCACTACAAATATCCCAGCAGCAGTGATAACTAGTGCGCAAATGAATCCCCAAAAACACAGTGCTCAAACTTTTCTATAAATTTCTATAAGAGGTTATACCAGAATGTATAAAGTGCTCAAAACAGTATAAATATGGATACAAAACTCATTAATAAACCATCCTCGGAGAGGAAGTCTTTAGGACAAAACATGTGGGATGGGTGGGGTATGCTGACACAGTTATGAGCAGAAGCTGGAGAGACACTGAGCTAACCGGCTGTGAGGAGTAAAAGATCGTTTGTCATTCTGTAAGTGCAATTTCTGTTTTTACTAAAGATTTTTGATGGTTTTACAGGCGGGGGCATTTGTTTCTTTTGAGCTGTGACATTGTAGCCAGAGTTAAGGAAGATTGGGGGAAAGCAAGGCGGAGATCTGCATAGTTTGTTGATTCTGTTGATTAAGAAAAGGCTGTGTATGGTCATTTTATTTAACCACCTCCCATCCGCTGGCCATAGCTAAACGCCCGGACGGGAGCCTTGTAGGGTCGGGTGGGCGTCTTAAGACGTCCTTGCCCTCCCCCCACTCGTGCACGCCTCCCGCACTGCTCCTTTGGACAGTGCAGTTAAGTAAACAAGATATAGAGCCAGTGAAATCAGCTCTCTATACCTTGCGATCAAGCTGTGACTAATCGCAGCTGTCAAGAAAGTAAACAATGGCTGCGGTTTGCCTTTGGATGTGACAAACCATACCTTTGGATTTGAGAGAGGAGATTGAGATCTTCAAAACGATCGTCTACAGTTAGGAAATTAAAGTGGTATACACTGCAAACGGTACACTCTGCTACAGATCAGTGATTTTAGTGTCATCAGTGTGATTTCAGTGTCAGTGTGATTTCACAGTCTCATCATTGTGCCCGCAGTGTCATCCGTGCGATTTCACAGTCTCATCAGTGATCTGCAGTGTCATCAGTGCGATTTCACAGTGTCAGTGCATTGTACAGTCTCATCAGTGATCCGCAGTGTCAGTGCATTGTACAGTATCATCAGTGTGATTTACAGTGCCATTAGTGTGATTACAGTATCATCAGTGCTATTTAGTTTCATCAGTGCAACATTTGCAGCACAAATCATCAGCATTCAGTGTCACTAGTGTCAACAGTATCCCCATGCAGTGGCAAGCACCAGTACTTCCGCTCATCCCCAAGCAGAGGCAAGCACCAGTAGTAGGGTAGTCCAACATCAGCCAAGAAGAATTAGGCCCCAAAGACCCCATGCTAATGTACCAGAGGCACTTTCAAATCCTGTATGGCTACCCTCTAATTCTGCAACACCGGTCATTCCCCATATGGAACACCAAAAAACACAAAAAGTCTGCCCAAAAGTTCTAATGAGCATACAGAACGTATAAATGAATAAGTAAAGTCCAAACAATAGTCCAAAACAGAAGAAATTCAATGTGCAACAATCGTGAATGTGTAGAAAAATGTAGGGGTAGTCCACCAGGATGAATAAGACCTTCAGGTGTACAATTGTCACAAAGTTCTAGCAAGCCTTCACCTCCACCAGGTGAGTACAGATGACAGACAGGTGCTCACCTGGGGAAGTGGACCCACAAAGTAGATCTCAACACACGTTTACCTTCTTATATAGGGGAGGGAAGCCTGTAAATATGTTGACAAATTTTCTCGAGACCGCAGACATCAGCGTCATATCAAAGAGAAACAAATATAGGAGGCATAGTGCATATCATCCAACACAACACAGTTTATTAAATAAAACAGGAACTCACAATATAGCAGATAAAAAACAGCATCAAACAGGTATCGGGTGAACCCCGTATCATAGATGGATAAGTGCGATGGGACTCCCTTCCGTACGGCTCAGCTGAGATGGTGGCGTCAAATGCTCCACCCTACGTACGTTGCGGCTCACACGTGACTTTGTCGGGGTCTGGAGTATCTCGACACCATTTAACATCGCAAGAACCTACCGTAAAGGCTACAATATACATGCAATGTGCATACCATATACAGTATATCATGAATTAGCATCCCAGCAGACAACCCACAAGCATATGTCAATAAACCTGTAGACCAGCATGAGCATAAAATGTAAATATATAAAAAAAAATACATTAATAATCAAAAACAAAAATCAAAAGATATAAATACGATAAAACAAAACTCCTATTAAAAAGAGATGGATAACAGTACAATACTTACATCTTGCTCGCATCACCCTAACCAGGCTTCCACCTGGATAATAGGTCAACTCCTCCTTTACAATGATGACCTCATATAAAATTATAACCCATAATGTCCAAGGCCTGAACTCGCCAAATAAGCGTAGGAAAGCCTTCAGCTATTATGCTTCCCGCAACATAAACGTTGTGGGTTTACAAGAAACAAAATTTTCCGATACGTCTAGACCCAAATTCCTGCATGCAGCGTATCCACAGGTGTTTCATGCCACTTTTAGGGGAAAAAAAAGGGGAGTTCTCCTGGCCTTCCACCGTACCACACCCTTCACATGCACTAAAGAAATATCTGACCCGACAGGTAGATAGATACCTGTTATTAATGGGCAAACTCATGGACATGGACATTACCATAGTCTCCTACTACGCACCAAACTCAAGGCAGACTCGCTTCTTCACTCACCTACTGGATGTGGTCGAGAGGCATAAGATGGGCACCCTGCTGGTGATGGGAGACTCCAACCTAGTCCTCAACCACAAATTAGATAGACACTCCTCGAGCTCTAAAACAAAATCCCTACCCACAGACCGTAGCGAAACTAACCTCTTTAATTCCCTTTTAGCGGAACATACCCTAATAGATTGTTGGCGGGAGAAGAACCCCACGGCTAAAGATTTCACCTTTTATTCTAACCCCCATGACAGCTTCTCCCGTATCGACCACATATTTGCTACTCAGTCCTTTCTCCCTAGAATAAAGTCATCCAAAATACTTTCTACCCCTTGGTCTGATCACTCCCCAATCCTCCTTGAATGCACATCTTTATCCTCTAGCCCAACCTCCTACACCTGGCGCTTAAACGACTCTCTACTCACGTTCGCAGATTCGGCGACGAGTGTACGGGAACACATCCTCCAATACTTTTCGGAAAATGGGGGATCAGTAACATCACCAATCTCCCTCTGGGAAGCCCACAAAGTGACCCTTAGGGGGGACCTTATTCGCCTAGCTTCCCGCAAAAAGAGGGAGCGGGAGAATAAAATCCAATCCCTATACGCTGAATTAGAATCCCTGGATACGGCCTGGAAAGCCACGCCTTCAGCCAATTTGCGCCAACAGGTAGCCTCAGTAAAAGTGGAACTGAATCTTCTTCTGAACGACAAAGTTGAGAAGCAGCTTCGATGGGCAAAACACTCCTTCTATGCAAGATCAAACAAACCAGGTTCTATGTTAGCTAACTTACTAAATGCAAAGCCCAGAGGAGCTAAACCAATTAAACTGCGGCTCTCCAATGGCTCCCTGACAGCAAACCCCTCCCACGTAGTATCCAAATTCGCACGCATCTTGCGCAAACTATATAGCACCCCGCCTAAATTTGACATTCACAAAGCGGATTTATTATTCGCTGATTTCCCCTTGGGCACCCTGTCTAGATCCATGGTGGAGAGATTGGAGGCTGAAATCACTGAGGCGGAGGTGTTAGCAGCCATTAAAACTCTCAAACCAAATAAATCGCCGGGGCCAGATGGCTTCACGGCCCTGTACTACAAAAAATTTCGAGACATTCTAGCCCCCCATCTGGTGGCGCTATTCAACCATCTCTCCGAGGGTGGGAAATTAAATCCCTCCTCCCTAGCAGCTCAGGTGGTAATGCTCCCAAAACCAGGAAAGGATGATACCGACCCGCATAACTATAGGCCTATATCCCTATTAAATGTAGACACCAAACTACTCTCCAAAATTCTGGCCAATAGGATAAATAATTTCTTGGAAACACTAATTCACAGAGACCAAGTAGGCTTTGTTCCCCATCGCCAAGCCACGGA